TTTTTAATCTTTTTCAAATTCCTTAAATTTTTTTCTCCTCATGCTTCTAGGATCAGTGCTGCATTTATCCTTAACTTTATTTCTGGGCAAGATGACCTGAAAACAAGCCACCAGAGGCTCTGGGGAGGTTTGTAACAAATAAACTGATGAAAACATCCATTTTGCCCTCCCCGAAAAGATCTGTCTCCAAAACAAATGACAGTAAACACGCTGTGGTACAGCACATTCTGGGCAAACCCCTCTCTCCTTGTTTTTGAAGAGCTTGGGAGAGAAAAATACCTCTTTGTAGTAGTATTTTTCAGCTTTTTGCTCTCCATGAATAAATTGAAAATTGAATGTAGATCTGAAATGCTTTGAGTGCAGAGAACAGATGCATATCTACCAGTTGGTTGAATCAGAAAATGCATTGATCCAGGATCCTAAACAGCTCTGCTGTGCTGTCCTACATGACCTGTGGATGCTAGCCAGTCTTCTGTTCTCTGTCAACAGAATGTTTGATGACTCAACCACTTAACAACACTGGACCAGATAATAATCTGGATGTTGTAATCTCCCTGCTTGCTTTTGGGGTCTACCCCAATGTCTGCTACCACAAGGAGAAGAGGAAAATTCTTACCACTGAGGGGCACAATGCCCTCATCCACAAGTCATCTGTCAACTGCCCTTTCAACAGCCAGGATGTCAAGTATCCATCACCTTTTTTTGTGTTTGGAGAAAAGGTAAAGACTTTGAATTTGTTCTTGATCATGTGCAGCCAAGTTATCTAAGAGGCTCTCTTTGGTAAAGAAGCCATAAGAAAAAAAACTATGCTGTGCAATATTTCGCCTGTTTGTTGGGTTTTGTTTTGACACCCCCCCCGCCCCCCCCCGGAAAGTGAACCTTAGGTGGTCATGGTGTCACTCAGCCTTCCAGTAACTTCCAGTCAACCAAATTCAGTAGAAGTAGAGCTGCATAGAAAGTTCCTGTGAGTTTTGTGAAAACAGACAGGTCATAGAGAAAGATCTAAATTATTATCTTCTTTAAGAGATTGCTTGAGGAACTCTGCTACTGGTGAATCCAGAGAGAAAACAGGAACATGTAATATGCAGTGGGGTGCTCCCTTTCTGGCATGTAGGTAGTTTGTCTTCTCCCAAGGACAACTCCCATTTCCCAAGCATCTCATAAAAACCCTCCGATGCTTTCAGCAGGGTCCCCATGACCTTTTCCTGCATCCCATTAATTCTGTGTGCTCAGCACATACCGTATGTGTACACTCAAACCCCTGTGTGCTCTTGTGTGCTCCAGCGATGGCCGTCATGAATGCAACTGCTCCTGCTCGCCCTTCTTTCAAGGAGCAGCTGAGGGCAATGCCTTTGTGTAGGATGTAGCCGGGAGATGGTCCTCAGGCTGCCAGCCTGCTTGTGCTGCCTGTGCAGTCGCTGCAGCACACTGATGGGGAGGCCCTGAAGTCCTGTCGCCTGTTGTTGAACCAGCTGTGCTCAACACCGGAGTTCCTGCTGCCTGGGATGTGCTGTAAAGATGTTTTTGAGAATAAGCATCAGATTAACAAAGCCTCTTGCTGTAAGGAGAGCCTCTCAAGGTCTTACAGTAGAGGTGATGCTGTAGGGGTTTCTTTTTTGTCACCTTGTCTATGCTGTTCAGAATTACAGTTTATTTATGCCGATTTTTATATCCTCAGTCCTTTTTGCTGACATGCAATTTATTATAGTAGTGGCAGATAAACCGCTTCGTTGGTAATAAGTGGAATTTTGACTCTTTTGGGCACTGGCTGGGCACTCGGCTTGATACTCTGGATTTCCACATAAGTAGTGCAGAGCTGTGGTGAGGCTTCACCTCTTCTTCACCTTTATGACGGGATCTCAAGTCAGTCAGACCTTTGATCTGCCTTCACCATCTCTGTAAAGTGAGCTCCCCTAAAAACACCAGAAGATTTGCACTCAAAAAGCTGTGCTTTATTAAATCAAAATACACATGGGAAACTCAGAGTGACTAAGGCAGTGGCTTAAGAGTGGCTAAGACAGCACCTGGGTGAGACTGGGGGAAGAAAGGATTTATATGCAGCTCTGTCCCTACCATTATTTACCTGCTAAAAGAAAGTTTCTCTCTGAGGTCTGGTTGTCTGTTTCCTGCTGCGTTTGGCAGTCTCTCTCTGACCTGCAAGTTCAGTGCTCCTGGCACTAACCGTTCTTCTGCCGAAATCTCTATTCTGGAAATTTCTCTTTCTGAGCATGTGTGGTAACTTCCAGACAGGAGCAAATCTTCTCCCTGAGGACAAACAAGTACAACAGATTCTGCCCATCATGTGTGAAAGAAAGGAGGGAGAGAGGCAGCTGTCAGGGTGGGAGGCTGAAATCCCGAGTACTGCTCTTCAGTTCCTCGTGAAACGAAGGGCGGTAGCCCACGTAGTCAGTGCTGTTACCTCTGGCTCAGGTCAGACGGCTTGTTGCTGTCTAAGTGCTCACTTCAAGTACAAGCTTAAGGTCTTGTTCCTATAAAATGACAAAGTGGTCTGGTTGCATGGACGTGTAGCAAATTCCAGATGTGCGTGCGTGGGACCCTGCTAAAGCAACATGAGCTTCTCATCACAGCCCCAGCAATGCAGATGGTGGGAGGATAATTCAGCTTTGCCTTGGTCATGGTTAGGTTGACAAAAGATGAGGTGGCTCTTGCAAAATGTCAGCTGCATAATTGCAGACATGCAGTCATGGAAAAATGGAATAGTTTTAAATGGCAGGTAGCTTTCGGTGTTGTTTTTAGACCAGCCACTGCTGAATCCCTGTAAACATCTGCTTAGCATTCAATTTTGTATGTGCATGTGCTCTTGTAATTTCCTGACGTTATACCTAGATTTTCTTGTGTGGGGTTTTTCTGTTTGTTTGGTTTTGGGCTTTTTTTTGGTTTTGTTGGGTTTTTTTCCCACAAAATTCTCTGGTTTCAGTGGCCAAGGAAGGTGTAGGGATCTGTTTTCCATTTCAAGAATTGTATTCCTCTTCCACCTGCAGATTCGAACACGAGCCATCTCTGCCAAAGCAATGACCTTGGTGAGCCCGCTGCAGCTGCTTCTCTTTGCCTCCAAGAAAGCCCTGTCGGACGGGGAGCTCGTTCTGGTAGATGACTGGTACGGACCTCCCTCGTGCTCGTAACATTCAGGTCTAAGAAGGAGGTCTGTGACTCACAGGCGTGAGTCTCCCTAGAGTAGGAACCCTCAAGCCAGCCGTGCAGCGCAGGTCAATTGTGAAGGCATTACCTCTGTTTCCTATGAGGAAGGGAGGGGTTTGTGTTGGCAGCACTCTTTCATGCACGTTATCTGCTCAAACTGAAAACATGACACCAGGCAGTTTCCATAGAAACTGCTGGGTTTTTTGCCTTTGACTGGAACGTCAATAAGGAGTACTATGTATTTTGGACCTTCTCTTCAGACAGAAGCTGAGGAAACTTTGGTTTTATGTCTCAGAAACACAGCTTGAGGAGAGAAATGCTAAGGATTTGTTGGTTGCCTCTGGCAGCATACATTTTATGGCCATGACCAAATACCATCTGGATTGGTTTTTTGCTTGCTTGGTATTTTATCCTGGTCAGTAAAATGGAGGTGAGGAATTGCTTAAGCTTAATTCAGTAATATTTTTGGGTGTCGCCTGGAGCTTTCAAGATTTTAAGGAGCCTCATGTTCTTAGTTTATATTTTGGTATCTTTCTGTTTTGACATGGGAGGTTATGTGTTGGTGTTATCTGCGTATGTTAAATCTCAAGAGCAAATTTAAACAGAAGGATAGTTGCATTTTAACAATGTCAAATTTCAGGGATCTTGTAAATTTGCCTCCTGAATTTCACATCCCTTCATTGACAAACTAGAATTTCAAAGATGAGAATATAGATTTCTGGCTCAGTATGAAACAGCACTCTGTAGAACATCTTTTGTCACAGGTCCTCTCTTAGAAGTCACTGTACATCTAATATACTCCCTTGTGCTCTAGGATCAAGCTGAAGATGCCCCACAACGTGGCTGCCTGCATCACTGCTCTGCGTGCAGCCATGGAGGCTCTTGTTGTGGAAGTGACTAAAGATCCTGAGATCATCCGGCAGCTGGACCCAGCAAATGAGCGAATGCTGAATGTGATCCGCCAGCTCTCCAGGCCGTCAGCCGCGGGCATCAGCCTCATGGCCGCCAACGCACGGTGAGCGCGGCTCCGTCAGCTTGTGCAGCCAGAGTGCGGGGGTGAGGAGCACTCGCCACCTCGGCCACAAGGACACCGAGAGCCTGAACAGAGCAGGTCAGGGCTGTCGGCTCCGCTGCTCCCTCCCTGCACAGTGGCTGCAGAAGCCCAGAGCTCAAATCACCAGGAGAGTCTTGTCCCACGTGGATGGGAGCTTCAGGCTTTTGCTACAAAACCAATAGTCTGATTGTACGTAAAACTGTCAGGCCTAAAGCCTGATGTAGACAGATCACTGCCTGTTTCCACAGGACGACTAAACAGCTCTCAGGAATAAAAGCTGTCATTGCCTCTTCCAAAACACAATGCCTTTTAAAGAAAAGATAATCCAAATTAATTTTGGGCAAACCTGTTTTCTGGAAATAAAGTAAGTAGTTGGCTGTGCTTGCCCCTCTCCATTGCCCCTTGTTTGCATGTCTTGCTTCTGAAGCAAAGAAAAATGAAAACACCTGTGGGCTGTTAGTAATTTAAGGAACAAAACAAAGAACAGCTTTGATGTATGTGTCAGTGTGTTTTGTGAGGAGCAAAATACAGATCACTGTGCTCACCTAAACGGGAATGGAGCTCTCTACCCATTTGTGTGAGCTGGAGACGGGGGACTGAGGGGAAAGCTCTCTGTCCGAGGTATAGACCTGGCTGAGATTGAGGGGGCACTGCTTATGTGACATGGCAGGCCATTCCCAGCTTTTCTTCACTCAGGTGGAAAAGCTGCAAGTGTAATTCAAACATTGTACTCTGCTAACAGAAAATAGAGGCATCTTAACTGAGTACCTTAGCAATTGATTTGTCCTGTAATATTAAAAAAAAAAAAAATGGAATCCTAAGATTATGTCAAATATATGTTTCTCTTTGCCAGGTTCGGTGATGGTCCTCGCCCCCCCAAAATGCCTCGCTACGACAACGGAGGTGGCTTCAGAGGCTGGGGAGGTTACACACGTGGCTCTGGCTACAGAGGGAGAGGGTACAGTGGCTACGGCTACTCCGGCAGGCGCTCGGGAGGAAGAGGATACCAAGGTAGCCCGGGGGGAGGCTACAGAGGTGGGGGAGGCTATCGAGGAAGAGGATATCGAGGAGCAGGCGGTGGCTACAGAGGAGGCTGTGGGGATCCAGGGAGGGTCGGGTGGTGGTGACAGAAGCTCAGTGAAGTCTTTCCACCTTGACAAAGTGCAATTCTCTCCCAAATCCCTTTCTGGCTGTTACCAGTCTGTTTGACATTTCAGTTCCTTAGGACAAGTACAGCTCTGTAATATATCATGCCCTTAGGGAATTTACTGCAAGTTGTATGATTTTATTGTTAATAAAGAATTGGTTTTTAAAGACTTACACATGATACGTTTTATTTTGTATTTGGATTTAGATTTTGAAGCTGTCTGTTGTTAGTTTTGGTTGTAGGAGGTATAAGGCATTCTGAGGAAATGTTTTCATTGTCTAAAACCATCCTCTGCCAAACAAGTTTCAAATTAGAGAACTTGGGCTCAGTGGGGATTTTTCTTTGTTGTCTAGTAAACTGTGCAAATAGGCCTTGCTGCAGTGGTTTTCTGTCTATGCCAGGCAGCACTTGGTTCCTTTGCAGCCAGCCACCAGCCTGCTGCATGCTGTGTCACACCTCCCGGCACGGCAGCTGATGAGCTCTTTTGCTGGTCCACATAATGCAGGAACATGGAATACCTTTTTCAAGGCTGATGTGATGTTGCTTGTCTCTGCAGAACCTGAAGCAATCTCAGACACATGAACCGTGCCCTCCGTCCGAGGCAGTGTTCATTTACATTGCTACTCCAAAACTGTCTTGCTTTGCTCTGCCAAATACATGTGAGGGACAGCAATCCTTTCATGAGAATTCATTGGAATTGCAGCCCGTGGATTCCAGACAGTCAAAGCTCAGCTGGCTGCCTGGTGCTTGCGGAAGTGTAGCGACACAGAGGGCATAAAAACCCCTCCAGCGAGGGGTGGTTTCCTCTGCACCTCCCAGAGTAGCACCTGGGAAGTGACGTGGAGCAGGGGTGGATGACACGGGGTACCTGCAGGCACAGATTACTGTGCCAAGAGTTTTCTAAAGCCAGGCCCTGTTGTGCAGGAACACCTGTGTGACAAGATGAAGGAAGCACTCCAGTTTACAATAAATATGTTTGGGGTTTTTTTTGGTCAAAGCTCCCGTACCTCTCCTACAGCATGGCCACAGAAACAGCTGTGCTGGCCTGGGGCAGCAGCAAGCAGGTATTGCCTCTCACAGCACTTTGCACTGCAGGGCCTCAGCAGCAGAGGAAGATGTGTATGGGCACAGCTCCCTGTGAGTCCTGCTACATTACCAACCCCGACGAGATGAACCTCCACCCTCCCACGAGTCCAGCTGGAATGCATATTCGGAACCAGTAATTCGTTGCGCTTACTGGGGTGTGGGAGGTGTTGAAGTTGAGTGAAGTTTAGAGCAAGTCCAACATTTTTTGTATCTCTAATGAAGAGTTCTTAAGAACCAGGTAAGGGTGAAGCACTGTTTCTTTAATCAAAACTGCTAAAAGTCAAATGCCACACGAAGCTTAGGTACCCAGCTGTGAATTACAGAGCTGTCTTTGATATCAAGTGTATCGGTACACCTCTCTAAACTTAAATCCAGGATTAATTTGGAGCATGTCTGGTCTTCTGCATGGTCTGATGCAGTAAACTCCACAATCCTTTCTGCTGATGTAGACTTTTCTGTAGATGGAAGAATGGTCACTCTGTGCCACCTTCTCTGAAAATGATTATTATTTTTCTTTTCCAGTTTGGGTTCAGGAATAACCTGTTAGGGAATTGGAAGGGGTGGACATTGGAGGATGTGCTGCTGTGTGGTGTTAGCTGCCTTCCCTTTCCACACCCATTGTTATTGCATCCAGACAAAACTCGCTTTCCTTGGCTTGCCCCTCAAACACTGTGTTATCTCGGCTGAGGTTACGAACACAAAACTGGAAACATGAAGCAGGTGTCCAGTGGTTTTAAAGAGAACTATACTTCATTGCAGTATCAAGCCTACAAGTCTTAAATAAGATCTAGTATCTGTCAAAGCTGTCTGATTTCCTCTAGCTGTTTCTGGTCTTCAAATGAAGTCAGCATCTGAACAGGGGGCAGGAGGGATGGGTGCAAGGTGAGCACGGAGCAGAGCTTAAGAGAGGGCCCTACAGCTATAGGCTGTTCAGCTGCTCAGCGCTGCCTCCATCCTTACATGTGCAGAAACAGAACTGGGGATACTGGGAAAAATCCAGATGAACTCTAGTGAGCTGACCTCCCTTTGGAGAGCAGCTTTGCTGGTGTTCCCATGACTGAGTCCTGCTATTTCAGTTAGGTTTTGTTCTGATCAGGGCTTGATGTGTGGTGGGGCCCTTTGCCGCAATCTGCATTCACCTGCAGAATTACCATTAGCTTTTCCCTGCTTCTGCTGCGGTTTTAGGAGGTGGAGCAGGATAGCAGGGATTATCAAGTACATGTCCAGTGTTCTATGATACTAGCTAAACATGGTTTTACTGGGGGTACTTTGATGTTAAGTCCTAGCTAAAGAAATTCCCTTTTTAGAGTAAAGTTGGTGTTTCTCAGGTCTACTTACAAAAATGATTTCTGATTTGTAACTGTAAAGCTATTATTTACTATTACTGGAAAAAGACTGAAAAATACTAACTTTAATGCCACCCTTGCTGTGATGTGAGGTCTCACTGGTTCTGGTACTATTGCAGTGGTGAATTTTGTAACTCTCCAAGATGGCCGTGCTTCTTGGGTACAACTCAACACCAGAGCCCTGCTTGTTAACAAAAAGATTAATTCTAATTTCATGTTGCTTGTAAGAATTGTTAAAAAAGTAATGGGCACTTAAGGGTACAGCTTGGTGTAATAACGTATGAACTTGTGTAGGTCACGTGCCTGCGTTGGGAGTTGCTGCCGGGCTGGAGCTTGCAAGGATACCCGGTCCTGAGGACTGCTCAGGTTGCGGGTTGTGGCAGGGGAAGGGGCTGTGGACTATTTAGCATCTACAAATTACAGCTCAGTTGGTTTTATCTATGTGCCAGTGTTTTACATATTAAGGTGTGTCAAGCATGAAAATATTGCTTAACAATATTCAGTCTGGTTTTTAATTCCTAATCCATCAGGACCAGTTAAGTGGGAAAGCAATAATCCTTGCCTACACTTCCCGTGCCAGAAATGAATAGCACAGTCTAAACAGGGATTGACACGCTAATGAGGAGTTTAAACAGCCTGGGTACAGAAAACTGAAAATTAACCTGAAACGACACGTACGTTTTCACAGTAAGAACTGAGCTTGCAATGAGTTTACTGTGTCAGTAAATTGATCTGTGCTTTGTTTCAAAAAGCCAGCTTGTCAGAGCGCTCACATCTCTTGTACAATGAATTCAATAATCTGAAATCCAAGAAGAAAGAACTACGTGAGCTCCAGTAATCTCGCTATCTGTGATGGTCAGAGAAGCCCCAGTGAGTGCAGACACCGTTTCATTCACACCTTCTTACACACGTTCACTTTTGTCCTTCAGGTGATAGGCAGTCACAGAGGAAGGCTGAGAGTCCCAAGGAGACTGACAAAATTAGCATTGTAGTTACCTAATTGATCTCTTTTCCTGCCTCTCATTCAAAAATGGGGTGAGGAATGCCAGCCAGAGGAAAGCTAACGTCACAGATACAGCTTTATCCAGGTGGGTGGCTGGGCATGCAAGGTTGTGATGCCTTACCTGTCTCTGAGAGATGCAGTAAGAGTTTAAAAGCAAAATAAGATGAAGAAATGAACACTTTTGATCACACGCCCACCCAGAGCTTTGACAGGAGGAAGACCTGAAAATGGCTGCCTAAAAGCACTTTCCCTGTTCAAACGTTGTCTGCTGAGCGCCTGCGGCCTCGCTGTATGCAGCAGAAGGGGACGCTTCACTGGCACACACGAGCTCTGAGATTCACTGACATTTTCTGTCGCCTCATTCCAGATCTCCCTCGTTGCCTGCTCCCAGCCCCGGGCGCTTCTCTCCTGACACTGTCAAGAGCTCCGAAGCCCGTTTGGTATTTCCTTATTCTCAGCACTAACAGAAAGCTGCATTAAAGCTTCTGTAAAATGAGCAGGCACTGAATAAAAAGTCCTTACCAGTAGCTTTGCATGAGGCACTGGTTTTTCCAAGCCAGACTCATGCAGATTGGGTCCAGAAGGAGGAGGAGGTCGTTTAAAGCAGGAAGCAGTGCTGCCTTAGTGTTGGTGAAGCACATATGCGCTCCGTGTGTCTGGGCAGAAAAGGGGGCTAAAAGACTAAGTTGCAAGACATAGCTTCAGTTTATCTGCACTGCTGCTGGGAGCTCTGCTTTACCGGTTAGCGCGAGCCTTCGTGTCGCGGAAGGGCTTTAGCAGGCTGTGTTTCAGTGACCGTCCCCCCCGGAGGTAACGCGCGTTGAAGCAGCACACCAGAGCTGACGGGCAGCTGAAGGAGCACTTCTGCATTATTTTCAGGATACTAAAAAGCATAAAAAAAATGGTGGAGTAAAAGATAAACTTGGAACCCGATGCTGTATTTCGCAAGATGTGAGACCGTGGGACGGTGTAGGCATCACCTAGGATGGTAGGAAACATGCGCGAGTGCAGGCATTTAAATAACCGGTGCTTGCAGGCTTTAAATCTGCAAGGTGTGAGTGGCTGAAGCGTGGCTGGGAAGTCTGCTGATGTTATTAAACCCATTATGGGAGTGTTCAATACAGTGCTGATGTCAGTGTTCTTAAAACACCCCCCTGCCCCCAATCACACCTTTCAAGATCCATCAGGGAAGGGGACCCGCCTACTTTAGAGGTGCTGTTGCTGCTTAGCTTTGTGCTGCTTTAAAAGACATATATTTTATATACATATATATATATGTTTTATGAAACTGTTTTTTCACTGAATTCCTGCTATACAGTATACCAGTTGCACAGTATTTTTTCCCTAGGTAGTAGCTAACAAACTCTACTGTTTCTTTCCACATTGGAAGTTTTTAATCCTGTTAAAAGCTCTGGTAAATGTACTTTTCCCTACCTTTCGCTAAGAACAATTAATCAGGACTGCATTTGAGCTGTGGTTCATAAAGACAGAGGTGAACTATAAGAGAACCCAACACTAAAGTCCGATAATAATGTCTTTAGTTAACAGGGATAAGTTTACAGCCTCGTATTCTCCCGGGAAAACAACCCTGTGGTCTCCACTGTACCAACTTTATGAAGCCACAGTCAGTTATCATGTGGCTGAAATGGAGCGTCCATAGAAAAATCAGTCACCTGTACTGGAAAGAGCGAGCACCACTTCCTACATTCGAGCAAACTGGAAAAAAAGCAAAAGTAAAGTTTCACATTTAAGAGCAATTTAAAAATCTCCTGCTCTGGTCTGTTTCCTGCAGTTGGTTGCTTTTGCAAAGAGCTTTTCAGATCCTGGGGCTGTGTTTTGAAATCCATAGTTTTCCTCCCCCACTGCCGGCTGCAAAGAGACATTCAGAAAGACTATACATAGAGACTTGCCTTTTTTTTTCCTAGCTACTGCTTTTGTGCACATCTAAGCTCCTGACCTGTAGTCAGTGTCTGGTGTGTGATTTCCCCCGTGTTCCTCCTACCTTCTACTGAAGGAATTCATTGCTCAGTGTAGCCAACTGGGTTTTTTGGGAGGAAGGGGCGTAAGAGTTGTCTCACCTGCCTCAGCGCACTTTCCAAGGAAAGAAATGGCAAGAAAAAGAAAATTCTCAGCTGTGGTGAGCAGAAAGAATAATAATATATTTGATCATGTAGCTCCGTGCCAACTGCCACTGTTACTGTAATGATGGCCCAAAATTCTTACC